ATCTGACAGTTATTTGGAAATTAAAGTCCCAAGAGCATAGTTGCCCCACTTCAAACTCAGAACTCACTTCCAGGCAAGTAGGTGTGCTCATTTTAGGCTTTGGAATACAAAAATACCTTCAGGCCTCAATCCTATGTGCATTTAGACAGAAATAGTCTTATAACTCCCAGTGTACCTCAGCTGGCATAAGTGGCTAGTGCAAGTTACTTCAACATGAAGAGTAACACATAACATCTTTCTATGCAGTGAACCCAAAAAAGAACACTGAAAGTAAAGGGTTAAAAAGAGAGAGAGAACCCACATATATGCACTGTATTCAATAAGATTTATATCAGGTAAGTGAACAACCTTAATGCCACATCCAGTAAGTACAGTTTCCATCTCTGCAATACTCAAGTTGCACCTGCTTTGCTTCAGAGTTCTTGAAGTGACAGAAGTCCTTGAACAGCCTAGCCACATCCAAATGTATTTTGAAAGGTAGCACAGCTACTACTGATGTTGGGAGGGTGTGTGAAAGCCTTCCTGTGAGTCTGTCCTTTTTGTCATGGAGGTCACATTGGATCACAAGGAGCCATGAACCCTTAGCCCTTCACATGAATGAGATGGCTGATTACTTCCACTGCAAGACACTTGTCTGCAGAACTGTGATTCTGAGTTCTTTCAAATGGACAGCTCCTACAGCTATCAGCAGCAAGGTGCCATGTAGCAATTCCATCTTTCCCTTCTCAATACACTCAATGTGGAAGGGAAAAGGTCATAAAGAGTAATGAGAAACACAGAGAAGGGTGATAAATGGAGGAGTTCTTTCAGACAAAGCTTTTATTGTGCAATTCCACTATCTATCCATGGAATTTTACAAGGGGTTCAGATGACATTATAAGCCTTCTTGTCTTTTCACACTAGGTCTTCCATCTTTTACCAAAAAACACTGTTAAGAAGAAGAAAAGTAATTGCACAGTGGGCTTTTTAAAAATTCTTGCTGGTAAGAGTTCTGTCTGTCTGGAAACACCCAAAAACCGTATTACGATTGTGAATTGAATTACACAATAAAGCCACCTCTGGAAATTAGAGTTCAGCTGCAGTTTGGTTTCTCTCACAGTCCTGCCACTGACAGCTGGTAGAAAGCCGCCTTATACTGAGTCAGGCCACTAGTTCGTTTAGCTATATTGCTGACCCTGGCTGGCAGCACTGGCTCTCCAAGGTGTCAGGAAACGATCAGGATAGGGGAGGAAGCTTGCCAAAATCACTTCCCTCACTCAAATGTGAAACACGCGATCTGAAGACGGTTACGAGCGCAGCATCGTCTAGCTTCAGAGGAGCTAGAGGAGGGTGAGGAGGGAGGAATGCCTGATTGCGTAAAGGCCTGAGAAGGAAACAACGGAGACCGAGGAGAGAGACGCTATTTCTGGTCACCCTCTCTCGCTTTCCTACCTCATGAGGTAATCCCTGAAGTCCTTGCTACGGACATAGTCCGCAGCCTTACGGGCTAGCGCCGCCGCCATGGCGGAGGACGGGTGCGAAGGAGCGACGGAGGAAGGAAAACCGAGCACGGCTCAGCCAGCCGTGCCGCCGCGTCTGCCGCTTCCAATGACAAACGCCTCAGGGGCCGGGGTCGAGCCGCCTCCGCGCGACCGGCTCCAGCTTCTGCTTTACGACACCGCCTCAGTTGCCATGGCAGCGCCCACGCTCATTGGCCCACGCCACCAAGCCCCTTCTTCTAAATAACTTTCCACTAAGCCGAGGGAGGAGGCTTGCCGTAAAGTACTGAAAAAGCCGCAAGTTACCACTCCCGGCACTCGCCTCCTTGCTCGACTGCGTTTCTTACGGAAAGGTGGGCAGCGCTTCTCTGAGCCACTATTGGTTGCCTGGGAGCAGCTGCTTGTTTTCTATTGGGTGAGCGGCGATGGTCCGCCGTACGATTGTGGATTTGCCCTCCCCCTTTGCTTTCACTTCGCTTGTCAAGGGCAAGGAGAGCGCTCGGAGTCCAAGTGGCGATTTTATTTTTAACCCGACCCATTTCTCGCTCAGCTACTTGTGCCTGGTCCTACTGTGGAGAGAACAAGACTCTAGAAGAGGCAATAGTTTTGCCAAGTGGGAGAAAATTGAATTCTAGTATCTGCCGTGGTACAAGGCTGTTTTTAGATGGGAGTTTTAAAGGTCAGGATGACAATAGCCTCTTTTATATTTTGGCTTCCGTGATCCAGGTGTTGGAAGCTGAGGGAAGCCTAGAGTAAAAGATCATCCAGAAAAATACCGAAAAGCCTTTCCTCTTAGTCTCAGTGAATTATCTGTACAATAGGAATGTCGATAATGTCCAGCTCTGGGATTGTTCAGAGGTAGGAAAAAATAAGACTTGCAATGTACCTTGATCACAAAAGTGCTAATGAGAACCGTTGCCATTGTTGGATCAGACCCAGATCCATCTAGTTACTAGATCCTAGCTCAACATCCTGTTTCATGTGACCAGAAAGGTATGAAGTCTGCATGAAGGGCAACAAAGTTACCCCTAACAGCCTTGAGGTAACCTTTGCACTGCACATTCAGACAGAAAAAAATTTAAATGTGTGAAATACTCGATTTTTGTCTGTCCTGAATCTACTGCCACTCACTGAGGATACTTTCAGTGTTCTATCTCTACAACTCCAGGATCCTTCTGAATATGGAATTAGGATTACTTCCTCACTGTATCTACTTAGAAGTGAATGCCACTGAATTCAATTGAGCATACTCCTGGGTAAATCAGTTTAGGATTGCATCCTCAGTTTCTTTACACCTTTATTGCTCATTCACCCAATTTGGAAGGATCCTTTTGGAATTCCTAAACTTACATGTGGGTTTTTAAAATGGTTAAAAGTAATATACCCTGAGGACTTTCTTATAAAGAGCTTGGCAGAAATGGAAAAACAGACTGATTGCGGCTGGTTGCAGGCGCATATTTTCACTAAGCCTGGAAAACAAAATGTATATACCAAAACAGTTGGTGACACAATGTGTTCGTCTAGCCCAAGCTTTTTTTCTTGTTGGTCCATTATATTCCAGTCTTAATGGAACTTAAAACTGTTATTTATGTCATATTGGCCTCGGACTTCCTGAAAGATGAAGAGGGGGGAATGGCACAGGAAACAACTCAGGTTTCCCTCATTTTTCCATGCAGTCCATAATATAAATTCCCCATCTCCCTTCCCCTGATCACCAGTGCAAGCACCTATGGCTGCACCCCCACTGCATGCTGATTTCCTTAATGTAAGAATAAAAGCCCACAGAACTTTTGAACTTCACTAATGTGATGACAAAGGTAAATGACTTGGCAACAGACTCAAGTGAAGAAGAAAGCTTTGACAGGAAGTGTCTTTCTTAACTGAATGTAGAAGGAAATGTTTAAACAAATCTCATTTCCCTTCAGATCTCGGTAACCTCTGCCATTTCTGGTTACTTATATACTTACCCAAAGAGAAAGAGAAATAAGTAGAAAGTCTTGTTTTGTTCCTACCCATGTTTCTTATCCAGACTACCAAATCCTCACTCCAGCTTTGGTCCTTACCATCCAAAGACCAGCAGAATGGCCTCTGAGGTGTTCCATAAGCCTGCCTATCATTGCATGCATATGTCACTCTGCTAGCATAGCAGAGTTTCTGCTGAACAGTACAGTCCAGGCGGGAAGAACCCAGGGGGCAATTCTGGTCCTCTGGAGTTTCCCAGAAGTCCTTACCTCTGCCCCCAAGCCGCTGTTTGTTCATTGATTTCCCAGCTTTTGTGTGTACCCCTGCCTCCCTATTTTAAAAGGTCAAAATGCTTCTTCTGAGGCTTAGTAACAGCAGTAAGCTTTAAACACATGTACTGAAAGCAGTTCTGCACCTCTTCCTCAGCCACTGAGCCGGCAGATACTCAGTACAGGATTGCAGTTTCTGCTTTAACTATTTGTTGTTGTTAGTCACGAAGTCGGGTCCAACCCATCGCGACCCCATGGGCAACATTCCTCCAGGCCTTCCTGTCCTCCACCATCTCCCGGAGTCCACTCAAGCTCACACCAACTGCCTCAGTGACTCCATCTAGCCACCTCATCCTCTGCCGTCCCCTTCTTCTTTTGCCATCTATTGTTCCCAGCATTAGACTCTACTCCAGGGAGCCCTTCCTTCTCATTAGGTGGCCAAAGTATTTGAGTTTCATCTTCAGGATCTGGCCTTCTAAAGAGCAGTCAGGGTTGATCGCCTCTAGGACTGACCAGTTTGATTGCCTTGCAGTCCAAGGGACTCGCAGGAGTCTCCTCCAGCACCACAATTCAAAGGCCTCAATCCTTTTGCGCTCAGTCTTCCTTATGGTTCAGCTTTCACAGCCATACATTGCAACTGGGGAAACCATAGCCTTGACTATACGCACTTTTGTTGGCAGGGTGATGTCTCTGCTTTTTAGTATGCTGTGTAGATTTGCCATAGCTTTCCTCCCCAGGAGCAAGCGTCTTTTAATTTCTTGGCTGCAGTCGCCGTCTGCGGTGATCTTGGAGCCCAGGAAAATAAAATCTGTCACTACCTCCATTTCTTCCCCATCTATTTGCCAGGAAGTGAGAGGACCGGATGCCATGATCTTAGTTTTCTTAATGTTGAGTTTCAAGCCAACTTTTGTGCTCTCCTCCTTCACCTGCATCAAGATCCTCTTTAGTTCCTCTTCACTTTCTGCCATGAGAGTGGTATCATCTGCATATCTGAGGTTGTTGATATTTCTCCCAGCAATCTTAATTCCAACTGGTGATTCATCTAGCCCCACCTTTCTCATGATGTGCTCTGCATATAAGTTAAATAGGCAGGGCGACAGTATACAGCCTTGCCGAACTCCTTTCTCAATTCTGAACCAATCAGTGGTTCCGTGTCCAGTTCTCACTGTTGCTTCTTGACCTGCATATAGACAAGAGACAAATAAGATGGTCCAGTACTTCCATCTCTTTAAGAACTTGCCACAATTTTTTGTGATCCACACAATCAAAGGCTTTAGCATAGTCAATGAAGCAGAAGTAGATGTTTTTCTGGAACTGCCTAGCTTTCTCCATGATCCAGCGTATGTTGGCAATTTGATCTCTAGTTCCTCTGCCTCTTCGAAATCCTGCTTGTACTTCTGGTAGTTCTTGTTCCACATACTGCTGGAGCCTAGCTTGTAGGATTTTGAGCATAACTTTGCTGGCATGTGAAATGAGTGCAATGGTGCAGTAGGTTGAACATTCTTTGGCATTGCCCTTCTGTGGGATCGGAATGTAAACTGACCTTTTCCAATCCTGTGGCCACTGTTGAGTTTTCCAAATTTGCTGGCATATTGAGTGTAGCACTTTTACTCCTTCATCTTTTAGGATTTTGAACAGCTCAACTGGAATACTGTCACCTCCACTAGCTTTGTTGTTGCTCAGACTTCCTAAGGCCCATTTGACTTCACATTCCAGGATGTCTGGCTCGAGGTCAGTGACCACCCCATTGTGGTTATCAGGGATGTTAAGCTCTTTCTTGTATAGTTCTTCTGTGTAATCTTGCCACCTCTTCTTAATCTGTTCTGCCTCTGTTAAGTCCCTGCATTTTGGTCCTTTATCATGCCCATCTTTGTATGAAATGTTCCCTTCATATCTCCAATTTTCTTGAAGAGATCTCTGGTCCTCCCTATTCTATTGTTTTCTTCTATTTCTTTGCACTGTTCATTTAAGAAGGCATTCTTATCTCTTCTAGCTGTTCTCTGGAATTCTGCATTCAATTGGGTTTATCTTTCTCTTTCTCCCTTGCCTTTTGCTTCCCTTCTTTCCTCAGCTATTTGTAAAGCTTCCTCAGACAGCCATTTTGCTTTCTTGCATTTCTTTTTCTTTGGGATGGTTTTAGTTGCTGCTTCTTGTACAATATTGTGAACCTCCATCCATAGTTCTTCAGGCACTGTGTCTATCAGATCTAATTCCTTAAATCTATCTTACACCTCTACTGTATATTCATCCGGGATATGATTTAGGTCATACCTGAGTGGCCTAGTGCTTTCCCCTACTTTCTTCAACTTAAGCCTAAATTTTGCAACCAGAAGCTCATGATCTGAGCCACAGTCAGGTCCTGGTCTAGTTTTTACTGACTGTACAGAGCTTCTCCATCTTTGGCTGCAGAGCACATAGTCAATCTGATTTCTGTGTTGACTGTCTGGTGATGTTCATGTGTAGAGTTATCTCTTGGATTGTTGGAAAAGAGTGTTTGCTTTAACTATAGCATCTATTTTAACTGCTCCCACCCACCAGGCATATGCATTTAATTTTAGATAAACATGTCTTTAGAACTCAGAATCATAAGATTCTGCCATGTGGAATCTTCCCAGTGTTGCCTTTAAAAAAGTGGGAAAGATAGAAAGGCTGCAAACTGAAGATGAAGATGTTGGACCTGCTGTCCTGTGTTGCTGTTACGTGCTGTCATTTCCACCTTATAGTGCTCCTATGAATGAAAACCCTCAGTGATGTCCTATCCTTGCCAGTCCTGCTGAGCTCTTGCAAATTTAAGGAGCTCCATAAAGGAAGATCGGCTTCCTTTATGGAGTCGATCTATCTCAGATGTGGTCTTCCTTTTCTTCTTTTTCCTTTGGCTTTGCCATCATTGTTTTTTTCCAGTGAATCCCTTCTTCTCTTGATAACAATCTTGGCTTCTGCTATACTAGGGCCTCATTTGAAAGTATCTTTGGATGCTGGCTAGAAAATATTCAAATTCCACTTTGGGGCAAGCCATCACTTAATGCCAGTTGCTGGAGAACGCAAGTGAGAGAGTGCTTTGTGCTCCCATCCTGTCTGTGGGCTTTCCAGAAGCATCTGGATGGTCATTGTGGGAACTGCATGTTGATCTAGGTAGTCCTTAGGTCTGATCCAGCAGGGCTCTTCCAGCATTATTTTTTTCTTTTTAGTTTGCCTGGGATTTTCTCACATTTCTAGAGACATGTGAGTGCCCTGTTGGTTTTCCATATTTGAATAAGCAGGGTGAATGTTGAGGACAGCTATTGGATAAATGCAGTTAATGAATGACCCTCACAAGCTTTCAATTTTAAATGTGTATGGACAATATTTATCTCAAAAGGATTATTTCTAAGCCAGGCAATTCTACCTTTTTATATAACCTTTAACCTTTTACAAAGCCAGCAAACAAGTTGAACTGCTTGCGCTTAAAAGGAAGAGATAGTGACTGTGGGAATCTTTTTGGCTATTTCTAAAGGCAATAAACAACTCTCTTTCTGAGCTAGTTAAAGCTTTATCCCTTATTTCTCTACCTTGTAGCTCTTCTTCAGTGAGAGACATTCTAAGATTTTTCCTGCTACTGAGTGGGGTGTTTAAGAGAGAAGAACAGAGTCATATCCACAGGAGATACTCCAAGTCTCATAATAAGTCTAAGGATCATCTCTCTGATGCAAGAGACAAATAACCCTTTAGCCTAATTTTGTTCATTATCACCTTTGGCCCAATTCCTTGACCAACACATACGCAAAAGACCTTTTCAGTCAATATGTAGTGGATAATTAAACAGTAAGTACCCTGAATGACCAACTTCAAAAGTGTCAACAATCATGTCCTTACAAAAATAACTGAGATCAAAGGGAAAGTGACACAAATACAGTTCAAGCTGCCCAGTTTTTGAGAAGGCCTGTGAACCAGTCAGGTAGAGAGGCAACTGGGTCAACAGTCCTTCAATTATGTATACCTCAGAAATGGAAACACAAATGTATACAATACAGCAAAAAACAAACAGCCTGGATGCGATTGCACCGAGATCCTTTTTGTGCAATGATTTACTGATGTGCTTGGGCATTCATGTACTTGAAGGAATGCTAAAAGACAGCAGTTTCAAGACTGAGTTTTACTGAATCAGATCAAAGGTTCATGCAGTCTATTTTCAACAATGGCCAAGAGCATGTTTCAGGGTTCACAACTTGGACACATGGTTAAGGTTTTGTTCTGTATCTTCTATCACCAAAAAATAACTAGGGCATGAAGAAGACAACGGTCCTGTCCCACTGTTACTTTCCAACAGATGATATTCCAAGACATATTTCCTCAGAGCCTGGAGGTTCCAAATAGCCATCCTGGTTGGTTCTCATTGTTAGAGCCATCCTTCATGGATTTGTGTAAATGAAGCAGGTGAGTGATCAAGAACCAGCACACTCACTTGCTCATACGCACTGGCAAATCAGTGGTTGGCAAACTGTGAATTGTTGGTTGCATGCGAAACAGGTGACTACCTCCAAAGTTGAAAAGCTCCTGCTACATTTATCAGTAATTCCAACCTGGCAGATGACTCCCAGAAAAGAAACTGTAGATAAGCTACTTGTTCATCACTGAGTGAGCTAACATGCCACTTGTGTCCAGGAAGCTTAGAACCAACACGAGAATGTTTTATCTTAAGTGCAAGATGGTAATGGTTTTTCCAGTAGTGTGCATGTATGTGTGTGTGTGTGTGTGGTTGGGAGGGATAAGGTTAAAAATTATGCCGGAAGATCATGAGAATCAAATTTCAGCATATCAAACCATGAAAGATTCCAACAGGAAATATTATATCAGAATCTGCTCAGTGTCTTTTTGAGGCTGATACTGTCTTACAAACTTATTGGGCTTACTCCAACTCCAGTTGTACCTGTTGCATGAGACTAATGGTCACAGATGGAGATGTACACGATTTGTCTTTTGATGTACATCAGTGTCTGGATAAGCATATGCATTTACACCAATTGAAAGTGTGAATATTTACTATTGGCTTAGCTTGTGTTTGAATTGGTAAGTGAAACTGAAAGAATTCAAATGACTGAAAAACATGAGTATACTTTACAAGACTTCCAAAAAATCCCCAAATATGGATAATATTTACTATATGACAATGAGTTTGATCAACAGCTAAGTTATGGCAGATTTTACTTCTATTTCTTTATATATAAAGATGCACTTGTTGTGTTGTTAGTCGCAAAGTCATGTCTGACCCCTTGCAACCCCATGGACAACATTCCTCCAGGCCTTCCTGTCCTCCACCATCCCCTGGAGTCCACTTAAGCTCATGCCCACTGCTTCAGTGACTCCATCCAGCCACCTCATTCTCCGCTGTCCCCCTCTTCTTTTGCCATCTATTGTTCCCAGCATTAGGCTCTTCTCCAGGGAGTCCTTCCTTCTCATTAGGTGGCCAAAGTATTTGAGTTTCATCAAAAAGATGAACAGATGAAAGCAAATACTGAAAATCCTTCCCAGGAGTCTGTTACAGTACATGTTTGCTCTGTTGAACCCATAGTCTCTTTTTTCAGCCAATTATAGACCTCTACAGAGCAATTCAGAGAATTTTACATAAGTGTTCACCCAGCAGCTGAGGCCCGCAGCTGTAGAAACTGCAACAAGAGACTCAAAACATGGAAAGTAGGCTTGAAAATTTTCCTGAAAGACACTGGTATTGAGCAAGCTACAAAGTCCCAAGTGATCATTGTCTGTAAAAAAGTACACTTCATAAAACCAATCTAGGGCTGATGAGGTGAAAAGTAAAACATCTGGAGGGACCAGGTTGGGAAAAGCCCCTTAAACTATGTAAAGTGTTCCACTGTTTCCTGTGGATCAACATTTTACAGCTGTTTGGTAGTTTCAGTCTTTAAAGCATTCCACAGGTCTGTTTAACAGGGGACTGTAATGTGATTTGCACCAGAATCCATGGATCTGGTGCAAGTGAAGATGAATTGTAATCCTGTGTCAGGAAACAGAACACTGATGTCATGGAGATGCCTTCTCCTTTGATGAAGGAGAACATCTTGCTCCTCTCACTCACTTAGAAAAACATTTTGTTTCTCTTGGGAGAGATTGTTTCCTCAGTTTTCAAAGTAGATTACTGTCATGCATTTCAAGTGGGCCTACCCTTGTGCTTTGACTGGAAGCTGCAGCTGATGCAGAATAGAGTGTCATGCCTTGCCACGCACATGATACATCAGTGTTGACATTATTGCACTAGCTACTGGGCGCAAGTACAGGGTCTTGAAGTTAGCATATAAAGCCCCAAACAGCTTGGGACCAGCTTACCATGCAGATTGTCTGCTTTGATACAGACCCGCAGTCATTGGAGGAGGCCTTGCTGGTTGCACCATGTCATGACACCTTCAAAGTGGGCCTTCGCCACGCTAATTCTCACCTTATGGTATGCCTTGCCCTCTCTTCCTAGGAATCGGGAGGCATCAACAGCAGAGTGCCAACTTCTTCAGGCACCAGTTAAAGACGCCTTTCTTCACCCAGGCCTTCTGTGACTGATTGTGCTGCCCAGTCTGTTTGTTAATTATGATGCTATGAATATTTGTGCTTCATGTTTTTATCAATATTTTATTTAAATTTATTGTCTTTGTAAACTGGAAATATTTTAAAACCACAATAGGTGGCTTATACGCTTATTAAATACAGTACACTCAATACAGCTGAGTCAATCCCCTCCCCCCCATCTCAACCAAATGAATAGGAATTTGAAACTTCAAAATGTAAGGAAAACCTGAAAGAAATAGGAAAAGGAGTACAGAAAAGAGAATCTTCCCATAGATTCTACATATTTATTAGATTTATATCCTGCCTTTTTTCTTTTTTAAAGCAGTCAAAGCAGGTTACATGATTCTCCTGATCTCAATCTTATTCCCATAACAGCAACCCTGTGGGGTAGGTTGGGCTGAGAGTTTGTGATTGGCCCAGTCACCCAGTTGGCTGCATGGCTGAGCGGGGACTAGAACCCAGATCGCCTGAGTCCCAGTCCCATGCTGTTCACCACTGCACCAGCTGGCTCTGCACTCCACTGATTAACCCCAAGGACCCAGTTTGTGTGGGCCAAGATGTTCTACTCCATCTGGACGGAAGTAAACCTTTCACATGAAAGCAAAGTTCTGCTCTCGATAAGGAGGAAGAAAATGGGATATATCATGGCAGGGATGTCCACAACTTGGACAGTGCTGGAGGGTAGCACTCTTTCTGATGAGAGCTGCTTCTGAACAGACAGCTTCTGGCATGACCCATCCAAAGGCAGCGTGCAGCTGCTTCACCTTTTCCTTCTTAGCAGAATTTTTATGGTAAGAAAAAAGGGACAGAAGTGGTAGGAAAACATGGAAGAAACATGGAGAGCCAGTGTGGTGTAGTGGTTAAAAGCATGGGACTGGGACTCAGACGATCTGGGTTCTAGTCCCCGCTCGGCCATGGAGCCAACTGGATGACTTTGGGCCAGTCACAGACTCTCAGCCCAACCTGCCTCACAGGGTTGTTGTTGTGGGGATAAGATGGAGGAGGAGAATGATGTAAGCTGCCTTGAGCCCTTTGTAGGAAAAAGGCAGGATATAAATTGAATGAATGAATGAATGAATGATGAATGAAAGAATCGCAAATGAAACATGGCATGTTGCAGGGAGGGGGAGGCAGGGCTGTAAAATTCTGTGATTAAGGCAAGACAATCATGCAACAAATGCTTTGTTTGGAAGAACCCTCAACAAATACGGCTGTGATAACCCATGCCTAAAGGAGGCTTCAACCGTGGTGAAGGTATTGCTTTTTCATAAAGGTAGACTGGACTGGAAGTTGAATTTTATTTCGACACAGTTGGAGGGATAGAGTTCTCCAGTGTGCCTGTGGGCCAAAGGGGTACAAGGCAGATGGTGTGGCATGCACAGCTCTGTCCTTCAGTACCTCACCACCGCACCATCTCCTTCAGCCTCGGCTACACCTACACCATGGCAGGGCTGGCCCTCTGACAAAAATGCCGGCTTACAAATCATTCCTGCCAAGAAGTGCCGTAGAGCTGTTCCTATTATCTAGTGGGCCAGAGTCCTGATAGGAAGGCCCAGCACCCTGTGTTTTGGTGGCTTCAGCTATTACAAGCATGATACTGCAATGACGCACTGATTTGATGTATTCCAGTATCTTTAAAAATTAGGCAGAAGACCTAGTAAATAAAAAGAGGGGAACGGGAGACAGACGGACGGATAATTTTCCTGTCCAGCTGGTGCATTGCCATTCCCTTGTCAGTGTGGTTGCAGCATTAACTGTTCCATTGAATTGACTGGGGTGGTGGGAAGTGTGCAAGACCACACTGGCATTGAGTCCTGATGTTATCATGTGGAGATGAGTTTTTACTTCATGCTAAGACGTGTTTGCTAATCATGCTCTTAATAGAGCTATTTTTCTGATGTGGTATAAATGTTAGTTACAAGGCTGGAATAAATTTAGGTGAAAGATGTTAGACATTACATCATGAAACTGTAAGTGCCAGGAGCCATTCTTTGCTCTGATGAAACCCATGAGATCGATTCTGTATACTGATTTCAGTGAAACAAAGACTGGGACCTTGAGGGAAAACAAAACAGAACCTTTTACCTAGCACTTTATGCTCACCAAAAGAGATTCATGCCAGTTAAATTTCCCCTTTACATAGCACAGCTGCAGCAAGAAGAATATGAAAGTGCTTAAAGAGCTAAGGCATATTTTGAATTGGCAAACACCACCAGTCTCTTTAAATAATGGCTTGCTGTCTTCACCCTTCTGAGGGCCAACCTACTGTAGGTTACAAAAAGCAGCAGGCGGGTGCCACATAGCAATGAGATGAGATTTAGAAAATGCAAAATATGTTCCACAATTTTCTGTGTTGCTAGTCTCCAGTTTAAGATCAGTTTGACCCTTTCTGACAGTAGTTAAATCCCACATTTATTCTAAAGATACTTTCATAACACATTCAGTACATACTGTGCTTGCTCCAACAGAGGGTTAGCTGCTGTGGCATGTGGATCTGGATTTGTAAGCCTTTGTCATATATTCTATGCACTATTTTTATTAAAGACATTTGTGTCTTCTTGATTTGACTAGTCTAAAACCCAAAGTGTTTAGTTTCGCTTGTCAAAAAGCCCGCATAAGCTGGTAGAGGCTTGCAGTAATGTCAATACACAAAATCAATTTATCTGCTACAGTCAAAAATTTGTAGTGTACCTTCCATGAATACACTACATTTGTACTGTACCTTCAATGCCCTGGCTGTAGAAAATGCAACTGCTGACTGAGAATCTTGGACATCTTCTGGGAACTGTACTGAAAAGTTGCTACTGGAAGGATTAATTAGGCAAAATTCATCCCAACCTTTGGCCTGTATTTTAATTGTTATTTGGTCTGCATGGAATGTGTGCATTTCTTGTTCAAAACCTTTCTGATCCAGATTATTTGCTACTGTTCTCAAACAGTCTGTTCACAATATATTTTATTTTTTTAATGGAACCTGATTTCTTGAGACTGTTTATGACATATTTAAGTGTAAAGGAAATTGCCCAAACTTGCTATCAAAATTTGCTACTTGTGTTACCTTCATTCTCAGTGATAAAGTCATCTGAATAAAGTTGTGTTTGCCCCCCCCCCCATACCATCTGAAATGGCCATTATGGATATCTATGCGAGTGCCTTCATGAGGAGGAACCCTATGGCCATATAGTGGGCAGCCCAAGCATCTTAGTTTACAAGGAAATCTGGTTCATTTTCAGTAAGATTTAGTGACCCTCAACTGAAACAAGTCAGCTGCTCTTAAGCAAATCACTGAGGGTTCAAGTTAGATAAAATAAGAATCAAATTACTCAAGAGTCTTAGAATCAACTCTGTTTTACCAGTGACTTATCCAGGGCTGACTGGAATATGAGCAGTACATATGAAATATGTCACCATATGTTAGCTTACAGCTCTTACTGTAACGTGTCTCAGGAGGTGCATTTCAAGCTTTGAAAATGGTGCTGGGGGTAGGTTTCGGGAACTACAAAAAAAAAAAAAAAATCAGTGGTTGGGGAAAGGGACACGGCCATGTGGGAGCTCCTGAAGGTTCAGATTTGCCTTCCAGGTCTAAGGGTTGATATCCTCAGTCGACACCAATTAGCAACAGCTCTTCAGGATTTCCTGAATCTTGCCTACTTGAAGATGTCAGATGTTGAACTTTCTGCACGGCAATCACACACTGGACCACACAGTTACGATGGCTCACCAGCTAACAGGAGTTCTGGTAATGTTGCTTACATTAGAAAAAACTAAGAAGAGCATATCAGACAGCCTATTTACATTAATCTAACTGTGTATATGCATTTTTAAAAATTGTATCCCATCTTTCTTCCATCATAGTACTCAGAGTGGCTATATGGGGTCTTCAAGTGGTCTCTCCTCCAAGCACTGTCCAGACCCAGACCTGCTCATGGGCCTTTGTTCCATTTCCCACCATTAATTAGAACATTAGTCTGCACCCTAATTCTGTGAAAGAGGGATATGCTATTTCAGTGATTTCAGGCTACATCTAATGCACATTACTTGTGTTCCAGCCACCAGCATTACCACAGATGTGAATCAGCATAAGGGCACGCCCTCTCCTGAAGGATTCATGGGTAGACATATTTATAGTCAGCTGACAGTAAAGTACCAGGTAATGCAGAATATGAAGAAAGCAATTTCTGGTTACTTACAATAATGCCATAACTGCTCTAAGTTAGAGTTAGGTCTCTTGGTCTTGACTGCACTGGCCTACTCTAAAGAAGCAAGAGTCAAGGTGACAAGACCATCTACCATCTTGTTGTCTCTGCAAACAACACAGTAAAGCAGGTCTAAGAGTTCTGATATCTAAAATATACCTATGTCTTGCCAAGTTCAAACCAATGCATTGATCTCATGAAATTTCACAGCGTTGTTTTATTCTAAAAGTCAAACTTCAAGAACAGCTGCTTTGCCGCAGTCTTGTGTGCACAGCACATAAAAATGGAACATTAAATATAATTTAAAAATTAAGGATGACATAAAAGAAAATAAATTAAACAACATTTTGTTGAACACAGAAACAAACCCCAAGAAGCACATTACAGTAGCTAATGCAACATTTTCTTCACTTGTGTATGCAGCCTCAAACAATGTGGATCTTCCAAACTGTGTCTTAGCATCAAAATGGCCTTACTTCTCAGAAAAATAACCTCTAGAATATGGCAATCTACCCTGACATTTCCTCCGTAAGAAAGGCAACATTTTTCCTGTATGACTTTGGACGGTGACAAAATCCATTCTGAACATGAAAGTCAAGTAAAGTGCTTAAAAGAACAGCCACAGTACAGCACAGAATTGAGGATTCTTAGGTCCACTGATTTTGAAGTGCTTAGGCTGCAATCCTATGTACATCCATGTACTTGGGAATCCTGCCCACTGACCTCAGTGGGCTTAGTTTAAGTAGACTTCTGTAGGATTGTGCTGTTAAGCATGCTAAGTCTGCATTAGGTTGCAGCCTGTGGGTGCAATCCTGGATAACTGCTGGACATAAAGCTTTTCAATAACTGGGAAGTGGAATGTAATGATTTTTTCAACCAGCTCAACAGAATCCAATATAGAAATGTCACAAAAACATTTAATCCAACCTTTAGACCAACATATAGTCCAATTATGCCTGTTTTCTTTGACAGCAGGAAATATTGCAGACTTTGTTTCCTTCAGTTTCTCCACCAAACAAGTTTCTTTCTCTGCTTCCAGTTAGACACTAGATTATTTTCTGACATGGACAGTGGCCTGGCATTATGAGCAGTGCTTTTAAAACTAAAGAGGCCAACAAAAGATCACTGCCTTAATTTGATAAGAACAGGAGAACATGTAATATAATCAATATTGTTAGAAAGCTCGAGCCGGGCTTGGCCAAACACAGTTAAAGCAATGGGACTTAAAATACTCATGACCAACAGAAGTCACATTTGTTTTAATGGGCCCAATCCAAGTATGGCCAAATCTGGATGCAACTCACTGCTCATGCATCAATCCATGTAGATATGAATGCATAGGGCTGAGGGGCGGGCGTCATGCTTGCTGGCTCCATTCCTGGCCTTCACACTCAGAGGCTCTATTTGCACAGAGCTTGAGTATGCGTACTCCAGCTGTCACACTTCCATATATGTGATCCACACCTTCAATTTATGCAGAGTAATATAGGAAGTGTGCACACACACGTGCATCGTAGGGCTGGGATACACCCAGAGGAATCCATCCCTCTACTAATCACAGGCTTCCTCTTGTGCTTGGCCCAGTCTTGGAAAGTCTGCAAATGCTTGTGGAATGTAGGTCCTGCTGCCGGCAACCTTCTTCCACACCATCTGCAGCAGCACAAACAATGGCTGCTGCAGATGGCATAGAAGCGGGACGCCGCTTGAGCAGTGCACAGGGTTCGGTTCCTGGAAAGTGCCCACCTGCAAGCACTGGGTGTGCTTCAGGAGCTTGGATTCAGGCTGCTGCAAGACAGACCAGAGGCTGGGGCTGAGCAAGGGAATCCGATGGATTCCCACACCCAAATGGATTCCTCACACATCCCTGTGTGTGCATGTGCGTGTACGCATGAAGCCCCTATACACACAGTGCATGTCAGGGTCAGTGGGCACAACCCTTGTTTCCTCAAGACGCATCTATTTCTCTGCGGACCAAACATATAAATATGGTTTTTGTTTTGCTTTGCTTTGGAGGAGTAGAGCTACTCCAACAGCTCTTCCGCTGCTGCTGCTGCTGCTTCATGTTGAACACCACACTTTGTAGGCCATTGCTGTCACGACAACACAATCTCTTCCTTCCCTGCAGCTGACGATGGGTAGCTGTATCAATAGTTAGCTGTTACAATTCACCATGACACATATGCTGGTAGAATTGATTTCTAAAATTGAAACTACTTGTTTCCCTATTGAAAAGTGCTTACAAAAAGTGGTCTTACAGAGCTTCTAAAATATTCCAAAAACAGCATTTGGAGAAAAGGGGGAGATGAGAGAACATGATCTGAGCAGTTTATACTTGAATAAGAAGCAATACAGCAATTGAAAAAAATGGCACATTTTTGAGTCATTGCTAACTCAGGGCCTTGGCGATAATGTAAAAAGAACAACAACAACAAAAAACCTCTGAAAGCAAAGAATAACTTTGCCTTATGCTGTAGTTCTGCTACTTCTAGCAACGTATGTGCCAATTGTTCAGAGTCCTGCAAAATGAGCAATATAGTTCAGCCTCTCTCAGCAATGTACAGTGTGTTTTCTCGTTTTTAACAGGCGTTCTTTGGGACCACTACAACCTCGTTGAGGTCAGTCTTTTCATCCCCCTCCGCTGGGCCAGGTTGGAGGACAATACAGGTTCCAGCCTTGGTGCCTGAGGAGTTCGATTTAAAGCGAAATAGGTGGCTGCCATTGCACCCTGCAAAATAATTTTTAAAAGCATTTAAGAACAATTAAAATTTCAATGTATTTTTATTGTACATATTTTATTGCATTTTAATAGCTGTTTTATGGATTGTTGTAAACTGCTTTGGCTGTGTGGTGGTATACAAATGAAGTAAGCATGACCATAAGCAGTTTGTCCTTTTGTTTCACATCAGTTCCCAGTTCCTCCCAGTCTAAAGAAGAGGCAAGTTCTGCATCGCTATGGGACCCAGCGGAGAGTGCTTCCAGACCAAGGGGTACTAGTGATTAAAATCAAAGGGCACTGTGCAGCTATTATGGAGGAAAAAATCCATATTTTTCCATATTCCATATGGAAATCCATATTTTTCCATGTTCCATATTCTTCCATATTTTCTTCCTTAAAAGATTTTCCATTCTAAGAAAAATCACAGATGAAGACATGGGAGGCTCATGGATGAAATCCATTGACATTGAGACCCCACATGCATTTCTGTGAATGACACAGGGCAATGGAGCCATGGAAGCTTTGCACAAAAGGGGAATTTAATTATGCTGCAGACAGCTAAGGCCACCCTCCAAATTTTCTGTACGCAGGGATGCAAGGTAGTGGTGTTCCAGCTTACCTTGACCAGGTGGACATCCTGTCTGCTGAGCTGATTCTGGGACAGATATTCCCTGTTTACTATCCAGGGGTGTCTTAGAACTTGAGCAGCTGTTAAGCGCTGATGAGGGTCTACATGAAGCATCTTGGATACAATATCCTGAAAGAGATTGCAAAGAGGATGAAAAAGTGTAATTTGCTATTTTTCTGAGAATATATTTTTGTTTTAAAAGTTGGCAATTTAAAAACATGGAACAGAAATTGCTATTAAATCATCTTCATAATCTGAGAAGTGGTCTTGCTTCACTTTAACCCAGTAGCAATGGTAATAAGCTCTACTGAAAGTTGCAGGTGTGAGGTGCAAACAGCCCCAGTCCAAATACAAAACTTTCTAGCAGGATATTACCTTGAAACTATGCTTATGAAAGTCTCTGTGTTTACTTTTTAAGCAGGTGGGTTTGTGAGGTGATTTGGGTTGCCACAGAACATGTTACATGCAAGCATTTCAAAATGCAAGTACTTTTCAACATTTTTATTTATGATTTAGATGAGGAAGTGCAATGAAAAATAATTGAATTTGCAGATGACACAAAATGGGGCGGAACAGCAAATACCCTGGAGGACAGAGATGAGACACAGGGTGATCTTGATGGGTTAGAGTGACAGGCAGAGAGGAACAGAATGAAATTCAATAGGGACAAATGCCAAGTCCTCCACTTAGGAAAAAGAAGCTAAATGTGCCGCTACAAGATGGGGAACACTTAGCTCAATGATACTGCAAATGAGAAGGATCTTGGGGCTGTAGCTCACAAGTTGACAATGGAACCTATTGCTTGGGGAGGTTGTGGGCTCTCCCTCACTGGAGACAGTCAAAAGAAACTGGACAGTCATCTGAGTGGAATGGTGTAAACTGGTGTCCTGCCACTGCAGGGGATTGGACTTCATGGCCTTCCGCCTCCTTCCAGCTCTACAATTCTTTGATTTGTCCAAGTCAACCATTTCCACAATACATAGGATATCATGCAAGAGAGAACCATGGCAACAGCTTCCCAGCACTATGTGAAGCATAGCTGAGCTAAATTACAAATCGTATGTGAAGGCATAATGACAGATTCAAAACTTCATTCTACAGAGCAGGTGGTAATCTGTAAGAGGAGTACTAGTTTAGTTGTCAAGCACTAGATGGGGCTTAATGACCTCTGTGGAGTAAGTATAATTAAACAACACCTTCTTTCTAGGTGCCAGCAATATAGGCATGGGCAAACCAGCTTGTGCATTCTGTGGCATCTTTGCATTTGCCCACCTATTACTCTGTTTTGACTAATTTCTGCATTAATTTGAGATACTAAAAAGTAAAAGCAACATCCTATGCATATAGAATCCTGTGCTGGGTGATGCAGGATTGAATTTTCTCTCTAAACATGAACAGGACTGCATATAAATTTTGCACGGAAATAGGTATTTGGGCAGCCATTTCTAAGTGTATTTTTTCTCTTTTTTTTTCTCTCAAGCACTGTAAATTTATGCATTGGTGTTTTTTGAGTCAAAACCTGTATTGGAACATTTGGGAAGTATGAAAGCTGGTGGATAGCTGAGGCTGCAGTCCTTTATATGTTTATCTGGGAGTAAGCCTCATGAAACTCGATAGGATTTATTTCCGAACAGACAAGTGTAAGATTTCATTGTAAGTTCTGGCTGACATTATAGCCTAGCAGGTATGAATCAAGGCCACCTGAATAAAATCTAAAGATAAAATTCCTCAAGCACCCAAAGCTAAGGATAAGAAACCTTCCTGCCCTGTTTGTAGGTTCAGTATGGGTTCAGACCTGGCCCTGGGATGCAAACAGCCTTAAGGTGCAAACCTGTGTAAGCTTAGGAAGCCTACAACTCTCAGCATGTTTGCAAAGGCTGACAGTTGTAGGACTTTTTCCTGTCCAAATTTGCATAACGTTCCACCCTTAGTCACTTTGGTTGATGATTTACACAAGAAAGCGTGTCCCTTGTAGTTCGGCTGAACCTTTTGGATCATCCTTGTTGCCCTCCTCTGTACTCTTTCCAGTCTGGCTGCACCTTTCTTCAACTGTAGTGCCCAGAACTGGTCACAGTACTCCTAGCCAGTCCTGACTAAAGGGGAACTAGCACTTCATGGCATTTGGAATTTGCTATTAATGCAGCCCAAAATAGCATTTGCCTTTTTGCAGCCACATCAAATCACACTTGATATTCAACTTGTGATCCATAACAATTACAAGATACTTCTCCCTTGCCCGTATTGTTGAGCTAAGAATTCCCCATTGTAGTGATGCATTTGGTTTCCTTTTCCTAGGTGCAGGACTTGGCATTTGTCCCTATTGAATGTCATTCTGTTCTTTTCACCCCAGCATTCAAACCAAGATCACCTTGAATCGTGTTTCTGTCTTCCAGGGTATTAGCTATCCCACCCAGTTTTGTGTCATTTGCAAATTTGCTAATTGTTTCCTGCACGCCTTCATCCAAATCATTAATAAAAATGCTGAAAAGCACTGGGCCCAGGACTGAACCCTGTGATACCCTACTTGTTACTCTCCCCAGTTTGAGAAGGTGCCTTTTATGAGCACTCTTTAAGTCCGATTCTGTAGCCAACTGTGGATCCACCTGATAATTTTTCTATCTAGCCCACTTTTAGCTAGTTTGGTAATCAGGGGATCATGGGGCACTTTGTCAAAAGCTTTGTTGCAGTCAAGATAGATTACGTGCACAGCATTTCCACAGGCCATCCGGGAGGTTACCCAATGAAAAAACTCTAGCTATAGCCCTGCTTTTCAACCTATGTGAAGGAGGCTGTGGATGCCCAGAACCAGTGTCTAGCTGCAGTGAGTGACTGGATGTGGGCAAAGAAAGAGAGGCCCCGTCCAGACAAAATGGACATCCTGTTGGTCAACAGATAGGCCAAATTGGAACTGAGAATACACCGTGTTCTGGAAGGGATCACACTCCCTCTGAACGATCTTGCATGCAGCTTGGGGCTGCTCTTGGACACAGGGCTGCTCCTGGATGGTCAAGTGGCAGTGGTGGCCAACCTCTGGCTGGCACATCGATGGCTTAGACTCACAGGGAAGGTGCATCTTCCATGCCTTACTCACCAAATTTACATTACTGCAATGAACTCTATGTGGGGCTCTCTGGAAACTTCAGCTAGTGCAAAATATGGTGGCAAGACTTTGGTTTGGTTTGCATTGTACAGAGCACATAACGCAGCCGTCTTGCATCAGCTACACTGGCTTCTGCTTTGTTTCTGAGATCAAGTCAAAGTGCCAGTTCTTGGCAATAAAATCCTAAATGCCTTGGGGTACAGGTTTCTGAAAAGCTGCCTCCTCCAATAAAAGCCAGACTGCAATTTGCTGGTGTCTTCTGATCTCCACTGCATGTCCCATCTCCTGGAGAGACAAGGAGGTGGGTATTCATAGGAGGACATTGCATAGCAGTATCCTCGCTTTAGATTTTTCACCCAGGAAAATCAAGCTGCTGTCCCCTTTCTTGTCCCTTGGATGCCTGGTGAAGATGATACCATTTTCCAAGCTTCTAATAGGTAATGCCACTCTCTGTTTTTAGCACTAATCCCCAGTTTTAAAATGCATTTTAGGGTTTTGTATTTTCTATGTATTTTAATCTTTGTGTATGCATTGCACAGCATTTCACTGAACAAGCATGCACTGAACGGTGGAGTATTTAGTATCCATAAATACTATAAAAACTAAAAACCACAGGTCAGATACAACCATGTCAGATGGCATTTAACTCGAGTCATTCACATCTGGAGGAATCGCATAAAAATGGGATGCATCTGCCTACCTTAGCAGCTTCAGATATTGAATCCCAGTTTCCTCCTGTGAGTGCATATTTCCCACTGCCAATTCTAGCCAGAATTTCCTCTGGGGTGTCATCTGGTCCATTTGCAAAAGGAGTGAATCTGTTTAGCAGCAAGTAAATAGAATTTTAAATAGAAGTTTGCAAAGTGCAAATTCAGAAGAGCATAATATGTTGCTTGGTTTTTATGAAGCGTTTACTCAGGCTAACACCCACATTAAAACTAATGATGTGACTGATTAACATAATTAATGAAAGTAACAATAAGAATGATGACTTGATGCCCTTCATCTCAGGAATATCACTGCACAATCTTCTTTTACACTGTGTCAACCATATCAAAATATCAAGCTGAGAAACTACAGAAGATCGTGTCCCACAAATGTCACCATTTCTTCCTATTTCTTATGGTTTTGATATAACATTTTCAAACCTTAAGTAGGAAGGGCTTAACTAAAAATGGCTAACTAGAGCAAAGGGCACGAGACCCAAGGAAGTATGAATCCAGACTGTTATATTTAAAGCAAAAGGAAACTAGAGTAATACTTTATTTGACTAAGTTGAAATATCACACATACTTTGCTGGTATAAAATCACAATGCTCAGTGCTGCTTGTTGGCATAAATAGCTGGGAAGAGGAGTGCATCAGATCAGGAATGAAAAGCAACGGCACTTGGGTGCAGGCACCTCTGTAATAGCTTATGCTCCCTCTAGCGGGAGACAAGAGTGCCCTTGGGAGGCCTTCAGGTCCAAGGGCCATTGTTCTGAGTCCTGATGCACAGCAGAATGTGTCAGGATGTCAAGGAAGGGGAAGGAAAGATGAGAAGGGCAAACCTACCAGTATACTATGTTTGCCATCTAAGTCCCTCCTCCCAGTGCCTCCACCAAGGGGGACCTGCAAGGCAGCAACAAGGGAGAGAGCCTTCTTGCTGGTGCCTCCTCCCCAATTATGGAATGATTGTGAGGTCATTGGCTGAGCTCCAGTGAGGTCTCCCTGGCACCAACATTTTCTTCCTGGCATCCAGTTAAGACCTTCTCCCAGGCACTTGACAGCGTGTGATAAATTTTTAAATCAGGTCTTGAATTTGGTTGTTTAAAATAGTTCTTAGATATATGTACATATTTCTCTGTGTTGTATGTTAACATCTTTGTATGTATATGGTGCTTTGAATGTATATTTAAGTGTTCATTTCTGTAAACCACCCAGAGAGCTATTGGATTATATAGAATGTAATAAATGAAGTGAATGGAATGAAAGGGTGAGGTGGGTGCTTTAGAAGCTGGCAAGGATCAGGAGTGGATGGAAAGCCCAGAACCAACTCGAGCATGGGTGGGACAGGTAAAAGTTGCCCATTTGAGAACCTGGGAGTTTCTTTCCAAAATAGGCTCAGGTGGACTGTTGTGGCATTCCCATTTTTTCTGTCCTTGCTTTAGTTTGGAGTGATTTGTAAAGCTTTACTATGAGTTTATAAAGCTTTTTATGAGTTTTACTTTCTCCCATGTCTACAGATGTAAATATATTGTCTCCATTAATTCCAGCTGGATTTTGATGTTCCTCTGATATCTCTGAGATGGTCCAAGGACCAGAACAGAACACAAATGCTAAGTGGCATTCTCTGCATTCCGCTCTGAATTCTAGAAATAAAGGTCAGCAGGGCTGGATACAATTCTCATAATGTATTTTATGTGAGATACTTTTCTTCTTGTGGGATGAAATCCATCTCTAGATTAAATATAAGGAATCACCAGCCTACCAGTCTTCTTCCTAGTCCTGTTCCCTTTCCTCAGGTAGGGAAAACTGATGATCTCCAATCAGCTTCTGGCAGGAGACAGAAGCTTTTCCCTACTTAGTGCTGGGAAAGTCTCCTCGTCTCAGCACTGCACAAGGAAAAGCTCTGATCTCTGACCAGCTACTGCTTAGAGATAGGAGCTTTTCCCTGCTTAGTGCTGAAACAGGGAGCTGAGAAATGCTGCCCCCAGAGTTTGGAAGGCGCTCTCCCAAAACAATTCCACTCTTTTGATCTTCAAAAAGACCATCATAACAAACATTTTCAGTTTAGCCTTTTAAAAGGTATAGTTAGAATGAAGATTTTACTGTTTGCTGTTCATGTTTTTATAGCTACGAAGTCTTGTTTAAAATGGTTGAATGCTGCCTTGATGGCTTTTTAGCAGACAAAGCACAAAATAACAACAACAGCAGTAGCAGCAGGCCTTTCCTCAACTGATAACTGTTTTGGAGTAAGGTTGCTAGCAGCATACCTACTGCTGGCTTGCAAGCCCCAGAAGACTTTGGGGATGGCCATCTGTCCCTCGGACTCAAAACGTTTTACCACTTCTGCTCTAAATGCTTATCTCCAAAAGCCAGTATAGTAAAGCTTATACTCTAGGCTAGAATTTTGTGGGCAGAGCTAAAAAGAAGCAGGGGACTACATTTTTGCTTTTAAAATATATTTGAAATATATAATTACTTTAGAATAAGGTGAAATGTCAACTGAAATACATGCATGCATGCATACAGACATACTGTACATAAATCAAAATGATTGGCTTTGTGTCCTTTCTAGTCTGCAGGTTTAGCATGATACTAAAAAAAAGTAGCATTAGGCTACTTTACCGAAAACTAAGAGAAGCTACAACATTGTGGGTATTCATTTATCGTGTTTTTCTGTGCTTTGCTTCCATCTTTGTAATATCTTTAGGTGAAGGTTGTATTACAGATTGCAGGAAGACTTATACTTACCCTGCTAACATGGTGTACAAGAGGATCCCTAAACTCCAAATATCACAGGCTGCATCATAGCCTTGTCGTTTCAGGACCTGTGGAAGGGAAGAGGAGGAGAAGGTTATTCTTGTTATATTCCATTATGGTGGGAGTCTGTTTCATGTTTGCTTGAATGTGTCAGAAAGGCTGGAAATGAAATGCATTTTCAAAGTGACAGAAATATTCCACTCTTCAAAGTTATATGGCACTTTGTATTCCATAACTGTGCATCCTTCGTGCTTGAGGGTAGCAAGTAATGGAGCCCAGTCATCCATTTAAGAGTCAATTTTGCAACAAACTGCACTTCCAGACCACTGCTCCCCACCATACTGAATCTGCCCATTCCTAACATAGCGGTTGAGAACATGAGCCATGAACAAAAGACTCATAACATTTGAAGTGTGGCATCTTCCTGAAATATATGGAAATATACAGACTGCTTCACACCTGACTAATCTCTTACAGGTATATTGCTTCCACGTAGATTAAGCATGCATGACAAACATGTCTTTTATTTTGGTACTACTGAGAATTCATTACTAATTTTGTTCAACACAAAGTCAGGCTTTGCAATAAAAAAAATCAAATCTAATGTGTTTCTGGCAATTATTTTACCTCTTGATTTTCTAAGATAGAATGAGTTGCATTGAATGGAAAAGGCTTCAATATTTGGGCAACTAATGGATATGACTACACTTCAGGTTACAATAGGATTTTGAAATAAGAAAAGCAATAATATGATTTTGATGGCATGAAAAAGCTCTGGAGAGTCTTAATCATGTACCTTCAAGGGTTCTCTAATGAGACTCTTTGAGGTTAAATATAACACAGCATGCAGCTGTAAGTCTGATGAACACAGAGCAGGCAATATCTGCGTCATACTTGCCCAAAGGCTCATTTTGACCATTATGTGGTTGAAACAGGGCAACAGACAGACATGTCTTAGAAACAAAGAAAACAGAGGGAGTAAGAAGGGGCCTCCCAGGCCATCTAGTCTGACCTCCGGCATCAGCCGGTTCTGCTCACGACATGCCCACCATGTGGACATCCAGCCTATCCTTGAACACCGGCACCGATGGGGCCTCAATCTTGCCTAGCTTTCCCATGAAAACACAATTAAAGCTCAACTTAGACTTCAGTGACAACTGGAAGGAAAAATAAAGCCTTCTTTATGATTCAATAGATAAGATCAAGATCCTTTGTGATACGCAGTTTGTATTCCCACCTGCAATTGCACCCACTAGATGGCAGGCCAATTCTTCCTCTCAACCTTAACCATGAAACCTGTTTCATGTTTCACTACATTTCCAACTAATATTAAAAAGGAGTGATTGATTCCATATGAAGAGAGATTTATGTAACCAAGCATGTACTGTTACCTTTGCTGAGACCATGCTTGGCTGGCTTTCTAACATTCCATTTTATCAGATACGCATTTCAAACTGCAGCAGAATACACCAGATGAGAGTTTTAACTGGACCACAGACAACATTAGAGAAAAGGGGGAGTTCTGAAAGGAGGTCTCCAGATCAGCAGTGGTAGTTCTTGTAAAGGAGGGACTTGGAATGAAAAAAGGAAGGAAGTGCTTTACCATTTCTCTGACAGCCGCTTCCTCCCTGAAACTTAACCCCACCTGGTTCTTCCCCCGCTTAAATCTGCTGTGTGGGCTGCCATCTCCCCCTTGGAGTTTTTTGTAACTAATGTAATACACTTTATGTGGGGTAGCTCTTAAGGATGGTGCAGGTGGTAAAACTGCTTCAGCCCATCTGCAGTGAATGTCAGAAGATGGGAACACATGTAACTTTTTCTTTGTCCACTGAATGGGCAGGTGATATGCTGTATTCATTTTTGTTCTATATTCTACCCTACCAACCTGGGACCTACTTAGCTTAGAGACAATTTCAGTCTAGTTTCATGCTGGGCCACACAGGCTGTCTTCTGGACCAATGTAGCAAAGGTCCAGGCATCAAATGACCATGACCACAGATCACTGGCCAGACTCAATGACTAACAGGGAGTTGATACTCCAGAAATGGTTTGGAGCTGCAGCCCTGCAGTGACAGGTGCGTGTGCAAACCAAGAGCTTCCTGGAGGAACCCCATTCGCAGCTAAAGGAGCCCTGCTTTTCAGGCATGCGGGCTGCTGTGATTAGGATGTTTTCAGTGGCCCCTGGGCTTGCTATAGCAATGAAGAGGAATTCCTGAGGGCTACAAGTTAGTCATCAAAGGCCAAGGATGAAAGCAAAGCTAAATTCTCAGGGTCAAAGGAGGTTCTTTTCTTTGTAGGCTTCCTCCTCATTCTTGGAAGTCTATAACCAGGTGGCTGCTTTGCAGATCGCTTCCATATAGCAGTGAAGGATGCAGCTTTCCCCACTCTCAAAGTCTTCAGCCTCCCCTTCTGAGGTGGGTGGAGCACTGGGCTCCTGGGCCATGACACCAATTCTTCTACCTTCTTCATTTGCCAGATAGCACCCTTCTGTTGCTCTGTCTTTGTACAGTATCTGCTGCTACAAGCATAGCTGTGTCCCCGGGGCTCTGGAATGAACTTCTGGATGTGAAGATTTGACTTATTTGCTCGCATTCTACAGGAGTAGTAGATCTTTCCTTTTTTGCAGAGTGACTTCTCTGATTGGCTGACACATTTTCTACTTTATTTCATTATTTAAAAACTGATTTTATATTACTGAATTTTAATTTTATTGTTCTTTATTGTTGTGAGCTGCTTTAAATGCATGCTCCAATTTGGAATATAAATGTTCTTAACCTAATGGATGAAGGAATCAACTAATCAATGATCTCTTGTTATTGGATGGTCTATAAGTGTTAGAAATAATATTTAATGAATGAATGCATAAATGAACAGACTAATTAATTAACAAATAAAAGATTGGTATTTTAAAAATTTCCTCTTTGTCTGGATTGTGGTGATTTTTGCATTTTCCAAGTACTGAATAAATGGGACGCTTTGTTCAAGTGATGTCTCAATTACTATTTTGATTCCTGTGTAGATATTTATTTATTTATTATTTATTAAAACATTTTTATGCCGCCCCATTCGCCGAAGCCTTGGGGCGGCTTACAACAATAAATTAAAACCACATAAATTAAAATATACACATTAAAATAATAATAATAATTTAATATATATATATATATATATATATATATATATATATATGTATGTATGTATGTATATATGTATATATACACACACAATATAAAATAAGCCAACCTGGCCAGATAAAGTTCAATAGTATTAACATTTAAAATGCTGATTAAATAAAAAGGTCTTCACCTGGCGCCGAAAAACAAATAACGACGGCGCCAGGCGGACCTCTCTGGGGAGCGCATTTCATAACTTAGGCGCCACCGCTGAGAAAGCCCTCCTCCGAGTAGCCACCCTCCTCCGAGTAGCCACCCTCCTAATTTCTTTCACGGAGGGCTCCCGGAGAAGGGCCTCTCCCGCCGATTTCAGGGGGCGACTGGGCATATATGGATGTAAGCGCTCCTTCAGGTAACCAGATATAATGGTATGAGGTCATAGGCAATTACTTGGTATTTCCTACAGTGCAAGTAGTGATGATCAACTTAATTCCCTGCTTCTGCTGTGGAGACCTTAGTTTTATTTTAATTTTTAAACACAATTTGGAGGAGTTTTTCTGTGCCTCTTCTGTGATGAAGTGCATAGCTAGCCATGCTTCCTGCTCCTCAAACCCAAGAACGGAGGGGAAGCTTCCACTTTAGCTGCTTTGCTTCTCCAGCCAAAATATAAAAATCATGTTATAGTTGCTGAAACGGGACTTTTTCTTCTACTTACCTCAGGTGCTACAAAATTGGCTGTATAACATGGTGTCATTAGCAGACCATTCTCAGCTCTCAGTTGTTTGGCAAATCCAAAATCACAGATTCTGATGGAGTCTGGGTTACCTGACTCATCCATATAAAGAATATTACTGGGCTTCAGATCTCTGTGGACAACCTAAAAAGAAAGTTAAAACTGTAATAATATTAAGTGAAATGGTTACTATAACAGGACATGCTAACAAGTTAACAACTGGACATTAGTAAAAATACCAATAATTCTCAGAAGTTTGTTTTGGACATTTAACATCATGCATTGAGAATTACTGTTATTACCAAGTAATAGTCAAAATAAGGATGCTTTAATCATAATACAAAGGAACTACTTGAACCTTTATGTTTACCTCTGACCTTCTAAAATGTTAAGAATTCCCAATAAATTTCCAAGTTTCTAACTTCTACTTAAATTTAAAATTGAAATGCCTGTTAGGGGCGACTCAGGAGTAGAATTTTGCAGTGTTGACAGCTTAATTTGTCAGAAAGTTGGCTGATACTGCAACTGGGAAGGTAACAAGAATTTGGTATGGGATTGCCATGCAAGATCTTTGCATTATGAGGTTGCAGGAAACATTGCCATTCCATTTCATTTTCAATAGCAAATTAGTCACCTCCAACTTTATCCATTGGTATATTTAGGTATCCATTTGTGTGTAGTGACTTTCAATATTTCTAAGGAAAGAGGAAACACTTTTAGAAATCAGCTTGTAACAGTACTTACTCCCTGGGAATGCAAATAATCTACAGTCTTAGAAATGGTACAAAGGACAGCACTGGCTTCTCGTTCTGAGAAGCACTTTTGTCGAAGTATTCGGTCTAAAAGTTCTCCTCCTCGCATCAGCTCCATCACAAGGTAGACATATTTCCCATCATCATAGACCTGTATATGCAGAGAAGCCATCAGGTGCTTGAGTGACAAGAATCCATTAAATGTTAACATCACCTTTGATTAACTTGGTGTGCCAGAACAAGGTACAACCAGAAGAAAACAGAGGATGGCTTTGATAGGTAAATAAATAACAGTGGTGTAGTCACTCTTGCCTGCTGGTGCTGTAGGAAGTGGCTCTTTCTAAAAAAAAGTCATTTTACTGCTAGTAGAGTGAGTGAAGAATTTAAAGAGAGAAGCACTCAATTCTAGGCCCAGAATTCTACCTAATGGATGGCTACTGTTATAGGATGGTTGCCTTGCCCTCCCTAGAGAGCTGGAGAAACTGGATGTGAGGTAGGAATATACTCTTCCAAAGTCATGTTCAGGAATGACAGACGGGAGTTGTGGATCCCTGCTTGCTGAAGTGTTGTTACAGTGCAAAGGTCCTCCCTAAACTTGGGGACTTTAAGGATGGGACATGGACTGGCCAAATGACAGATAGAAACACAGAAACCAAGCTAGTCAGAAGGGGTCTCCCGGGCCATCTAGTCTGACCCCTGGCTCCAGCTGGCTCTGCTCATGACATGCCTACCATGTGCATGTCTAGCCTATCCTTGAACACCCTCACCGATGGGGCTTCAACCACTATATGAAATAAGACACTGGGGATCCCCATGCTTCTTGATTTGTGAAAGAAGGCTTTGGTAGCAATCACCATTTCCATATACAATTCTAATTTGCAACATGTTCAGCAAGAAGTTGGACACCAAGAATTAACAACTTGTGGCCTTCCTGATGTTTTGGCCTACAACTCCCGTGATCCCTCACTTTTGGCCATGCTGTCTATCGCTGATGGGTCTTACAGTGCACAAGTTGCCTATCCATTATATATTTATTTTATTTATTTATTAAAACATTTTTATGCCACCCCATTCGCCGAAGCCTCGGGGCGGCTTATACAGATTATACCAGACACCCGAGGGGCTAAAAATCAGAGTTACTTTGAACACCGTGCTGATGTGTGGATATGTGGACATTAGGTTGTATCCTATGCTGTGGGCTGGGAGAAGATAGGATCCTTCGGGGCTGAATCTGTTATGAAGCACCCAATGTTTGTTTAGCTATATGCTGACTGACCATGATATTGTAAACCCAGGAAGATGGAGAAAAGGAATTGAGGTAGTGATAGGGTTACTGTAAAATGGTTTTTTTATTATTCAGGTGAAAAATACCTACACTAAAAATAGCAATAACGGACAATGGTCCTCAAGAGCATGCCATCTCTTGCAAAATTGAGGGCAGCTCAGTTTGGGTGCAATATGGATGTGCTTGTGGATCCTAAAAGGGGAACAGATACTCCACATGAACATCAAACTTCCTGAATATGCAGAAGATCACTATCATCAGGGCAGCTGCATTTTATTCATATACTGAGTTGGGCATAAAAGGGACATTTTCCTGCAAAGATATGAATACACTGATCTAAATTCCATGCTGTATTAAACTATACAGATGCACAAAACAATTGCTGCTATAGGCTTTATAACAGTTTTCATAACCAACATTTTCCCCACCAATAGATTTGTTTGCTACTTAGGAGAGATGTACAACTGGCTGGTGACTTGAGAGACCACTTACATCTTTGAGAGTGATAATGTTTGGGTGCTGTCCGTATCTCAGAAGAATCTCAATTTCTTCAGAGGGGTCTCTTTTGCTCTTATCAATTATCTAGAGGGAAAAAAGGAAGAAAACAGCAAATTTCAAGTGTGAGTTTGTGTATACAAAACTCGTTTATACAGATAAACAAGCCTCCTTTGTATATTAACTTGGAATAAAAGTTTCAAAGGCAGATCCAGAGTAACCTTCATAACTATCAACAATAAGGAAATTACAGTTGTACAGAGGAAACATAAAGAAAGAGGAGACAGTCTGGTATTGCCATTGCTAAAACCAAACTCTCGTATAACATGCTTTAGGACTGGGGATGAGGTGAAATTATTTTTGTTTTACATGTTATATGAACTGGCCCAATTCACACTTCCCAAGTGAATATGTAAAATGGAACACAATTATCCTTAACTGGGATACAGTGGCTTGCAACTGAGTAGAAATGCCTTTGACTTGTGAGAGGATCCAACCCAAACATAGGATGCTAACAAGTTATGGCCACTGAATGTCACTATGATGTAACAGACTGTCTTAAGTGAAATGCATTATGAGGAACAAAAACAAATCAATTCATCATGTCTCTGAATCGCCGCACATCACTCTCCCAAGACAGAACAGTTTCACTAACTGTAGCAGGATATAGTTAGTGTAAGTGTGTAAGAATGGGGTGTGCGTGTGTGTGGAGTGCTAACAGCCATGCAACAGAGCAAGTTTAAACTGGTAATTTAATCTGTAAAATTAGTCTGTAAGATTAAATCAGTATTAAAGAAGAACACCAAAGAAGTGTTTGCTGCTAGGAAAACACATGGGTTTCTATTGCAATACATCTCCTAAAAATAAATCCTTAGAATCTCACTTCTGTTTCAATTCAGCAGGGCTTTTTTCCTGATGTCAAATTAGACAGGCTGTAACAGAATTACTACAAGATTGCTAACATTATTTAAAAAGAATACGATATACATGGCGTCATTCTTCTTTTAAGATGTCTTGAAAGAGAGGTATTAGAGCTGCAATTATTTCTAGATATTTTTTTTTGCACAGTTAGCTTTGATTAGCTTCAGTGATTCATTCACACCACGGCTGAATCTTCCATAAAATTAGAATAATGATTTTTTTTTTTTTTAAAGAGAGGAAGGAATAGACTGAACTACTGCCAGGTCTATTTATTTTTTCCTAAATGGCATGGCCTGCAGTATTAAGTGTGCCATCATCTCTGCAGGTTTATACATGTTTAGTTACTTGCAGTATTTATTGATTCAGCAATCACAGCATTAGCCTTCAATTGTACTGCTGTTTGTACATGGAACCCCATCATTACCCAGCTCACAAAACATCTATCAGATGGGCTGAATTAACCACTTGCTAAACTGGGATCCCATATAGCACTGCTGGAACACTTGGTATTTGTTTAGTTATTTGCCGTATTTGTATACTGCTCTGTATCTAGGCAATTTCCAGAGTGGTGAATAGTAAAAAGCTAAAATAGATACAGAAATGGAAACAAAACATTAAAACAAGTTAACATAAAAACTGTGGCTGGTCAATAAAAAAGGCTTCCTGGAACAAAGGTGTCTTTGACAAAACTCCAAAACCACAGTGTGGTGGTGCCTGCCTGACTTCCAGAGGCAGGACATTCCATAGAAATGAAGACACCACACAAAAGCTTTTCTCCTGGTGGACTCCAGTTGGAACCACCAGGAGAATGTCCTCTAATATTCTCAGTGACTGAGCAGGTTGTTATGGAAGAAGATGCTTTCTCAAACTGCAAGTCCCATCATTCCTCACCAATGGCTATGGTGGGAAAAGGTAATAGGAGCTGGAGTCCACCCATACCTGGATGACCACATATTCCTTATCACTTTCATACAGCACAATATAAGTCTGTGAGCATCTCCGTGATAAGACACTACATAGCCCTTTTTCTATTCTTTTTAAAATGCCTCACAGCTAGTGCCAAACTTCTACAATGGGTAGCCCACAAGCTCAAACCAATGTGAAATGATAATCCCAAATTGGAAACCCTTCCTGCTAATCTCAGATGTCTCTGTTTGTCAGGCATTGCCAAGAGAGACCTGGCATGCACTCAGAAGGCATGCTCTTTAATATTACTTCAAGTATATCTAGGTGAAGCCAGGAACTGAAATGTTTCTGGCTCAAAATTAAACTTGATTACCCGCTGAGACTGGCTGCTAATTCTTTACTATATGACAAAAGAACAGCCCCTTTCCCCCCACTTGCTGGGAAATGTGAAGTGGCGATAACATGTACAGCATGAAGAGCAGAAGAACTAAATTCTTTGTATAACTGCAGATGTTTTGTATTTTGTTTGATGTTGTAAGCCGCCCCGAGGCCTCGGCAAGGGGCGGCATAGAAATGTTTTAATAAATAAAAAATAAATAAATAAAATGTTAGTTGTGGAATTAACACATGTGGATCAGCTCACATATTAAAATCACCCATTTAACAAAAGGAATCTTTTGGCTCAAATGAGTGGCTTTCTTGCATGTGCAGTGTATCAGTGAGCCAGGAATTTACAAGATCTCAGCACTGGTGGTATTCCATCTGTTACACTATTCAAAGGAGTACACCATATGTGAGCCGACAGAAAATTCGCAGGTAACTGGTCTTGTCTGTCAATAAAAGCATCTCTGTAATATATAAACAACAAAGAGTCCTGTGGTATCTGAAAGGCTAACACACTGATTATAACACGAACTTTTATGTACTAGCATTCAGTTGTATGCCATTTTATTCTAAGTTGGCATATGTACATGAACACATACACGTGGATGCAGAGAATACGTTGAAAACTTCAGGGCCAGGGACCAATCTAACTCAGTTCTCCAAAGGTATATCCCTTCCCCTGCAACTTGCCTGAAGCTATAAAGAATCATTAAAAGGAGATACAATAAAATCGGTCCCAAGTAGTTGTGTGGATGGCTAAGGATGAGTGCAGATGGAAGCACAATGCCCATATACCCTGAGCAGGTTGGATGCATTGAAACATCCTGATCAGTATTCTCAGTGGGTGGTGTAAGAAAGTGAGGAAGAGGAAGAAATGACAGATTACAGAACTCTGTTGTCTTAAAAATGCAAGAGTGAGGGAGGTCATGAAAGTGCTCTTTAAATATCCAAATACACAGAAAAGGGGAAAGACTTGTTCTCTGCTGTCCTAGATAGCAGGACTAGACCTTGTGGGTTTAAGTTACTGGAGGGCAGAATTTGGTAGAGCACTAGTAAAAAATCTCTTTATGGTAAGAGCAGTTCCTCAGTGGGATCTACTACCTAAGGGGAGGTGATGGGCTCTCCCCATGTTGGTGGTCAAGCAGAACTTGTACAGTCAGCTGCCCAGGAAGCGTTAACAGAAGATGTCCTTCATTAAGTGGTGGGATGGATGATCTGGCCTACAAGCTGCCCTCCAACTCTTAAGCTTCTGTAATCAGTTTGTTCCCCTTCACCATTTAGCTAACAAAGCAATTCTAGGTAATATTAAGATATCCTTAACCTACTTAGCACAGAAACAGCAGTACCTCCATTATTCTATTATAAATGCTGACCTGGTTGGCTTCCTTTAATAAAGCATGAGCAAGTCAGTCTTTAGAAAGAGGATTTTAATTGCCACATCTGTGCAATACCACTCCAATCCTTTCAGCACACTGTTCTCTGCTTCCTTCCATCCACTCAGCTTTTCGGTAGTCAAATAAATGCAGTTTCACTAGCCTCTTAATGAGGTACCTTAGTTGTTCTTTGTTGCACAACATTAACATTCCGCTGCTGTTAATAGTGGATCAGAAAGAACTGGTTCAAATTGACATGATGCTATAGTCATTTAACAAAGCCAAACGTTGGTTAGCTCTTCTTGACAGGTGACTTGCATTTTACTCTTCTGAATTATTAATACTGAATAGTATCATATAAAATATTGTGCAGGAAAAGCAATAACCAAACAACCTTCATTGGATGCAAATGGATTGTGTACTCCTTGAGAGACCTGAAGGGTTATGGGAGCAGTATATAAAGGTAAACCTAAATAAATAAATGCAAACTAGTTATGGCTTCTATATTTGTAAGAGATGTTCTCCATACTAAGCAAGTTGCCCACTTCTGCACCAACAAAATATGGCAGAAACTAGAGCAAGACCCTCAAGAAAAAAAAATAAAAAGCCATGTGTTCAAGAAATTAAATGATTTATAGCAGGCATGTAGAACCTCAGGCATGACAACCAAACCCCGCTTGGGGCCCCAGTATGGATTTTCAGGGTTCACCAGAAGATTATGGTTCTACTTCCTTTCCCATGGTCAACAACTGGCAGTTGTTGCCAGTCTGGCAGTTTTCCTGCTTTTGTGCAGCTATCCCCCATTACACAAAGCTGAAATGCCTCTCCTTGGGCTCAGTTAGAATATGCTGATGTGTTTGTTTCTTTGGTCCTTTCTTTGGCTCCACCTACCCAAAGCCTGGAATTTGACTCCTGAAAGAGGTTCTGCACTTGTGATTGAAAGTCATTGAAAAGCAAACATTTCCAGATCTGAAGATGATTTACTCTTAATCATGGAAACTTTATTCATTGGCTGTTAAAATGAAAACAATGTTTTTCTCCGCTTTGCTAACTGTCTGCTGATCCAGCTGAATGAATAAGCTCAAAATGTCTACAGGCTCAACCATTATAATGTCACACTTCTTGCCCCTTGGATTTTGTACACCTCTCCCTCAAGCTGCATTAAAATCCCACACCGGCAGCCCATGGCCCATTGCACCAGCTGATTTCTTACCTTCACTGCAAACTCTGTTTCTGTGGCTTTGTGTACACACCTCTTGCATATTGAATATGAACCAACACCGATGTCCTCCTTGATTTCATATCCATCTGTAAAGTGAATATTGTTCCCATGTAACTGCTAGAGGAAAACAAAACAGTAACAATAAGAACTCTGTCCTTATGGTGTTCCATCAGAAGGCTCTATCACCGGGCATATGACAACATATAAGGTTTTTCATGGATTTATTATTGATTATTTAAATGGTTATATTCTATGTTTGTTTTATATTATGTTAGGGGCATATACTTTGGAAACCACCTGGATGGACTGCTTTGAATGTTGGGGTGAATCAAAAGATAATAAATGGAGACTGCGTGGCACTCACAATGCAAAGACCATGGTTATTAACTTTTTTCTGTCCAATTAAGGCTACAGTCCTTTGCCCACTCACTTGAGATTAATGCCACTAAATCCAGTGGGATTTCCTTGTAAGTAAACATAAATGAGATTACATTGTAAGAAACACTATGGATTTTAAAAACTAAAACATATCAATCTTAACTGAGAAACAGTAGAATGCATTGCTCTGGGTTTATCAATTTTCTTCCTCTGTGGAATTTGTTTGTAATTGCCTTATAACCACAGAATGGACTTTTAACAATGTAGCATCACAGTTCATGCCTGCAAACTGCATGCTTAGGAACAGAGGAAGCTCCCTGTGCAAGTTCTTAGTCCATCTAACTCTATACTGATAGGCAACAGCTTTCTAGGCTTTCAGAAAGTGTCTGTCCTACCACCAAGCTACAGCCTTCCTTCTAGTACCAGCTTCTTGTGTTAGCCACAACTGCTACCTCACTTTTCATGGGTTTGGGTTGTTCTTGTTTTGAAAGATGGTTTTGAGGAAGAAGAGCAGGAAGAAGAGAAGGAAGAATAGGTTTGTGCCTATTACACAACTGGAGGAAAGCAGGAGCTGACAGTCCACATGGTATCCCTTCCCCTAAACATGGGGCATCTTTAATACATGAAGACCGTCCTGCCATCTTATACTATCGGCGTGGCACTGGAGATCACTTCCATGAGCACCACTTGAAGTACACAAGTGCAATAGTACCATCAGGTACTGCCGACAAGAACATACTTTTACATAATTCTGGGGCGTACTGATTTCCCACTGGAGGAATGGACACTGAATAGTGAATAATAGTAGTAATAGTGTCACTGGCTTCTCTGTACCCCACTGTGAGCCACGTGGCTTCCCACCCACTTTATTCTGGGGCAGGGAGAAGGTGACAAAAGCCAGTCATAAAGCCCTCTTTCACAATCCCTGTTCTGATGAAGGCACCTTGGAGGAGCTGCTTAGCATTTAAACAAAATGTGTCCAAAGTTGTGCTCAAGACTAACTGTTATTCTGAATGCATATTCTGTCAGTCTGTCTAACTACCAAGCTACACCACTGAAAATACCAGAAGCCTCCAGTGGCCTTCTCCTAAAGGAAACATCTCACTGCTTGAAGTAGTGGGGTAAGTATACTAAGAACACCCCCAAGTTCATCCGTTTCATCTTTACCTGAACAATTGGGTGAACTGTGATTTTGTGCAGCTCTTGCTGTACAGGCTCTTGCACCAAGCTGGATGCAACAAAGCTGAATCCTCTGAAGAGATTATGAGCATTGGCACTTGGAGGGACACCTGGGGAATCTGCATAAGAGGTAAGATATGATTCAAAGGCAGGTCAGCTGGAGATTCCAAAGCCAGCCCAAAGAACTCCTCTTTCAGTAAAGCCAAGTGGGACAGTGCATCCCCCAGATAATGCTTTAAAGAAGAAATTCGCACCCAAGTATCACAAACGCTGATTTCAAAATGGTACAGTACATGTTTCTCCTATTTAAACTTTGCTTTGAACAGGAAGTTGCATCTTTCCTGGAGGAGCAAACTGGAACAGTGGATGATGGGGCCAGCAGTCAAGGTACAAAATGATGTTTAGAATCAGCAAAAATGTACAAAAGAAGACCTCATGCTAATAGCTCACTTTATGCTGGAAGAACACTGAATATCTTTGTTTCGCTGTGAAAGATTACACAACTAATTTGCATAAATCTGCACAATTCACATTCAGCCAACCTATAGCTTTGTGTCAGTGCAGACACACAATCTAAAAATGCAAACATACACAATCCTCTTTTGCTGTCAGTCTGGAGATGAAAACAGGCTGGTGTTTTATTTAGATATACCTTAGAGTTCTGATATTTCTAGAAATATGCAAATTTTATTTTTTAATATCCTGCTTTTCTCCCCCTCCACATACAGACAAAAAGGCTACTAGCAATAAGATCCATATTAAAAACAGGAACTTAATTAAAGCAGGCCATAAAAACAAGTAGATTAAAATGACAGAATTATGGAAAGCTATGGTATAGTTGTGTGTGGGTTTCCAGACAGATAGTATTACAAGTGAGACATTGTGCATAACTTTTTCCTACCTTATTGGATTGTTTGTACGGTAAGACAAAAATGGAAGAAGGGGTGGAAAAAACTCTTTGGGTTACAAATGATTCCATGAACAAAGCTGGACAATGGTAAAAGGAAAATTCAACTGGGTGCGGTGGCGTTCCAGCTATGGAACATGCTCTTCAGAGAAGTGTGCCTGGCTCCAACACGTTTTTCATTCCGGCACCAGGCCAACCCCTTTTTATTTTCCCATTATTTAAAATGTTACTGTTGTTTTAAAGATGGGGTCTTATTTGCTGTAATTTGATGTCTGATGCTGTACTTTTATCTTATTGTATTACCGTCCTGGGGCTCAGTGAAGGATGGTATATAAGAGCTTTAAATAAATAAATAGATTCAAAACACTTCTAGAAGTAGAGTTGATTCCCAGGCTCTTGGAAAATCCAGCAAATTCTCTCATATAGAGAATAAAGTAAAAACTGTCTGAAAGTTGAAAGATTCTCCTTTCTGATCAAGTCCATCTAGTCACAATGCTCCACTGGAAAGCTAGGTAAGTTCTATATATTGTTGAAAGAGATTTATCTTGCCTTGCAGTGAAAAATAGGAAGGCCATTGCAAAAACCTGTTTAGACATGTATGAGGGTTAGGGTTCATGGTCTGCGCTGACGCTGTAATGAAATAGCAATAATGAATTGAATCAGATGTGACTCTTTTGTGTTGTGATTGGTTACCTGTTGGGGTCCGTGAGGTGAATTCAGGATCAAAATGAAAGGTATCTTCTGGCCGTCCAACTGCAGGCTTAAAAGGTGGCTTGATTTCTTTCCTGTACAACTTCTGCAAAGCAACAACAAGCACCACCAATTATCAATTACAGATGACTCAACAAGTTGCATGAAAGAGCAAAGAATCAAAAGGTGTTGTAGAAGGAGTATAGGAAATGATTTCATAGCTTACCATAAGGAAAAGTGGGAGGACTGTCACTGAAAAAGTCTAATCATATAAACATGGAAAAGCCATGCTGGATCAGACCCAAGGTCCCTCTAGTCCAGCACTCTGTACACACAGTGGCAACCAGCTAGTCACAGGATTGCTCACACAGGATGGATGCAAGACCGTCTCCTGCCCAAGCTCCTCAGCAACCGGTGAATGCAGGTGCATCACTTTTGGTGAAGGAAGTAGCACTGAGCACTACTAGCACTTAATGCTAGTAGTAGCCTTCCATTAACCTGTCCAATTCCCCTTTAAAGCCTTCTAGATTTGTAGCCATCATTACTTCCCATAACAGTGCATTCCATAATTTATGTTGTAAGAAGCACTTTCTCTGATCTGTCCTAAACGTTCCCCCAATTGGCTTCATAGGATAATCTTGAATTTGAGTGTTGTGGGAGAGGGAGAAAATGTCTCCCTTTCCATTGCTACTGAAGAGTAACCCAGGAACCAGAGTGGTGTGGTTAGAATGCTGGGCTGGGACTGAGGAGTGGGTACTAGTTCTTATTCAGCTATGAAGCTTAAAGGGTGGCTTTGGGTGACTGACTGGCCACAGCCTAACCTGCCTTACAGGAGTCTTGGGAGAACTGTAAGCTTTGAATGAACGTATCATTGTAGGCTGTGCATGGAGCCCCAGGTCTACAGATGGGGTTATTTACCTATTCAATTTATATATGTGTGTGTGCAAGAGTGTAATTCATTCATAAACTATGTACAGGAACTGGATTGAAATGGATGGGTTGGAAATTCTAATGTGTACTGAAAGTGGTAATAAGAACGATATTATTGAAAATGTTTCAAGAGCACACAATAATATTTCAGATGGACTGGTAAGGGGAAAGATAATCTTATTTCCCCCCAAAGATTGTTTCTAATTCATCTCTGATGCACCCATTCATTCATTATAACCCTTGATTTTTTTAAACACTAGACTAGAAGCTCTGTCATTGTATAGGCAGGTTGCTTACCTGTAACTGCTGTTCTTCGAGTGGTCATCTGTGCATTCACACATATGGGCTTTGCCATGGAGCAGAAGGCCTAGACTGGAGAGAAACTTCCAGAGCCAGCATCATGAAGTGGGCAGGAGCTCTGGCCTGCCCCTTCCAGAAGTCCAGATAAAGGGAGGGGGCTCCTGCCCAGTCCCTCAGTTGCCATGGAGACTGCATCATCTCAGGTGTGAGCGATGTTGGAAGACAGAGATATAAAGATGGATGCAGCACCCACCCCTAGAACCCAGTGAGCAATGGGGGCTCAGCTGTGCTGATGACAGCCACTGGAAAGGGTTGTGTGAATGCACAGATGACCACTCGAAGAATGACAGTTACAGGTAGCAACCTGCCTTTCCTCTTTGTGGTCTCTGAGCATCACACATATGGGCAACTAGCAAGCTTACCCTTCTTGGAGGAGAGGCCTTCATCACCAGAGAACTGCAGAGAGACCTGCCCTGCCGAAGGCACTGCCTTGCCTGGTACTGATGTCCAGCTGGTAGTGCCGAACGAAGGTTGATGGAACAGACCAGGTGGCGGCTCTGCAGATGTCCTGTAGTGGGATGTCGGCCAGGAGGGCAGTAGAAGCAGCCTGTGCATATGTGGAGTTTGTGTGGGGACATGCAGGGAGGTCCAGTCCAGCCATCTTGTAGGCGAAGGAGATGGTGCTGGGCACCCACTTGGAGAGCCTCTGGGTCCAAATGGGGTCGCTCTGCTCTGGCCCTCATAGCAGATGAAGCGGTGCAGTGGCTCGGTCCAAGCTTTGTAGAAGGCGAGGGCTCTGCAGATGTCGAGGAGGTGCAGTGTAGACTCTACAGGAGTGATGGGGTTGGGAAAGAAGGCTGGGAGGACAATGTCCTGGTTGATGTGGAAGGAGGAGGTGACCTTTGGCATGAAGTGTGGCTCTGTGCAAAGGATAAACTTGTCGTACGAAAGGTGAGGAAGGAAGCGTCGATCCGCAGTGCAGCTACCTTGCTGACGCAGCGAGCAGGCGTGATGGCCATGAGTAATGCCATCTTCCAAGATGGCATAGGAGGAGGTCGGTTGTAGCCATGGGTTCAAAGGGTCTTTTTGTGAGGGACTGGAGCACCACCGGGAGAGGGTGCAGGGGCAGACTGGAGGGGTGAGGTTCCAGAGGCCTCAGAGGAAGGGGTGTGTCAAGGGGTGGGTAAAGGCAGCAGACCCTTGGATAGGCAGGTGAAAGTGAGAAATGGCCACTACGTGGACCCAAAGGGAAGGAGAGAGGCCTGAGCTAAATCAGGTATGGAGGTAGGAGGGGATGCATTCAGTGGTGGTGAGAGAAGCTGAGGACCTTTGACCTACTGAACACAGGGAAAGCCCTCCACTTTGCCAGATAGGATTTGTGGACGGAGGGCTTCAGGGTGGCCTGGAGGACAGAGGCGACCACTGGTGGGAGGGATCTGTATGAGTCTGCCACCTGATAATCCTACAAGCAGTCAGGCATAGGGTCCTGGTGTTGGGGTGACACACTCGGCCCCAGTCCTGGGACAGGAGGTTGGGGTGGGGAGGCAGGTGCAGGAAGCTGCGGTGGGAGAGCCACAGCTGCCTTGGCCACCAGGGAGTGATCAGGATGCAGTCCGTCTTGTCCCTCTGAATCTTGGTGAGGAGCCTTGTGATTAGTGGGAACAGGGGGAAGGCACAGAACAGGGCACCCTCCCATTTCAGGAGGAAGGTGTCCCCTGGGATGCTGTCCCCTGCCCCACTCTGGAGCAGAAGTGCTTCCAACTGGAGTTCCGGGGGGTGGCAAAGAGATCCACCCTGGAAAGGCTCCACCTCCCATACAGACTGTGGAAGATGGGAGGGGGCAGTTCCCACTCATGTGGGAGGGAGGTGGTCCGGTTGAGGGAGACTGTCAGGGTGTTGAGGTGGCCTGGGAGGGAGGTGGTGGTGATGGTGAAGCCTCTGTCGAGGGTGGATGTGAGGGTGGACAGGTGGGGGGATCGAGTCCTGCCCTGCTTGTTCAGACAAATGCATGAGAGTGGCTATCTGAACAAGGCGTCCCTTCAGGGCATCCTCAAAGGAGGCAAAGGCCTTGTGCACTGCCAACATCTCGAGGGCGTTGATGTGGAAGGGCAGCTCGTGTGGGGCCCAGAGGCCCAGCGCACACACATCACAGCACACTGGGCACCCCAGACTGTATTTGAGGTGGCCACTGCAACGGTGACAGAGATGTGAGGGAGATAAAGGGACTCTGGTAGTGAGGTTGTTGATTTTGTCCCACCAGCAGAGGAACTGTCTTATCAAGGGAGGGGGTGACAGCATGGTGGCGTGGGGGTCTTTATCCACAGCAAAGACAAAGCCAGAGCTGGAAGGGTCTCCTCAGGAGACATGAGAGCTACAGCACTGATGTGCTGATGGCCGTGAGGCCTAGAAGCCTCTGGATGGCATGGGCAATGGAGTGTGCCGTGGTCCTGATGGACGTGGCCAGTGTGGTGAGAGCTTCTGCCCATGGTTATGGAAGGAATGCCCTGGCAAGTGTGCAGCCCAGGCAAGCCCCTATGAAGAGGATGGACTGTGTGTGGGAGAGAACAGATTTATCAGCATTGATAAGGAGGTCAAGGTCCTGCAGGAGGTGGTGCGCAGCCCTTGCAGGTCCTCCCTGGAGGGAGATGCCAGGAGCCAGTTGTCCAGGTAGGGAGGACCTGGACACCCTGGAGCCTGAGGTAGACATGGACTACCGCCATACATTTGGTGAAGACCCAGGGGGCGGTAGCCAGACCGAAGGGGCGAATGGAGAACTGGAAAACGTCCTGGCTGATCTGAAAACAAAGGAAATGTCTGTATGCCTGAAGGACAGTTATGTGAAAATAAGCATCCTTGAGGTCTATAGAGGTGAACTAATCCCCCAAATGAAGAAGGGGGAAGATGCCATGAAGGGTAACCATCCTGAATCTCTTGGGAGTGATGAACATATTGATTCCCCAAAGGTACAGTATTGGCCTGAGACTCCCATCACATTTGGGTACAGTGAAGTAGCGGGAGTAGAAGCCACTGTGAAGGTCTTAGGAGACCAGCTGAATAGCTTGCTTGGACAGTAAGGCCTGTACCTCTACCACCAGAGTGGGTGAGGGAGGAGTGTTCTTGATGCTGCCTAGCAATGGTAGGGCATCAAATTCTATCCTGTAGCCTTGTTGTTTTATGGATAGTACCCAGGAATCGGAGGTGATGTCCTCCAATGCTGGGAGGAACTGGGGCAGGTGCTGTGTGAAGTTGTGGAGAGGGAGGGGGGCTGGTGGGGTGGGCTGCCTGGACCTAGATCTCAGTGCCTGGTGAACTGGTACTTAGCCAGGAGCCTTTGGCATGGTTGGGCATCATGCCTCTTAGAGGGAGCTGGCCCTCTGAACCGGAGTGGGTGGTCAGGAAGCAAACGGCAGCTAGCGCTGGAAGGGATCCCTTGCCCTTTTTGTTGAGGCCCCTGGGGTGTGAACCCCTTGAGCCTGGCAGCAGTACACGCGTTGTGGAGAGAGTCCATGCTCTCATCAGTGCGCGAGTTAAAAAGGAACTTTCCGTCAAAGGGCAGGTCACTGGTGTGTGCCCGTGTCTCTGGAGGGAGACTAGCAGACCTGAGCCAGGCACGGCGGCGTATGGCTACTGCTGCCATCATTGCCTTGCTGTTGCAGTCCACATGATCCCTGGCAGCCTCGATCTGAAATCTGGAAAGATTTTCTGCCTCGGCATGGAGCAAGCGAGCAGCATTGCGGGGATCATCAGGGAAGCGCTCTGCCATGGCTCTCATTTCCCCCCACAAAAAAGAGTCGGTATCTAGCCATTGTGGCCTCATAGTTGGAGATGCAAATGCCCAGAGCAGAGGCCGCATATCCCTTCTTAGCCAGCCCACTG